CGCCGCCCAGGCGCCCGAGGCGGTCCAGCGCGCGCAGGGCCCCCTGCCACAGGGCCACGCAGTGCAGCAGCGCCGCGTCGCCGGCCGCATGGCCGTGCTCGTCGTTGATGCGCTTGAAGTGGTCGATGTCGATCATGACCAGCGCAAAGCCGCGGCCCCGCGTGAGGTTGGCCTGGGCCTCGATCAGCGCCTGCTCGAAGGCGCGGCGGTTGAGCGCGCCGGTCAGGGGGTCGCGGTGGGTCAGGTGCTGGATGCGCATGACCAGCCGCCAGATCATCAGCGCGATCAGGCTCAGGCTGATGCCCACGGTCACGACGAGACCCGCCAGCGCGCGGCTCGCGCCGAGGTGGGGTTGGGTGATCAGGCGGTCGACATAGCCAGGCATGAAGAGCAGCAGGCCAGCCTGCAACAGGCTCAAGACGGCCAGCGCCGCGAACGGCAGTGCGGTGCAGGCCGTGATGGCCGGCGACAGCCGGTCGCCGACACCCCGCCAGATCTCGCGCACCGCCAACGCGCTCAGCACCGACATGCTCAGCATGTTGGCCAACTGTGGCGCGCGCACCGAGCCCGTGGCCACGCCCGCGACGATGCCGCCTGCACCCAGCACGCTGATCCAGGCGATGTGGCGTGCCCGCACCCGGCTGCCCACCATGCGCCGCAACGCGAACAACAGCAGCACGACGCTGCTCATCAGCATCAGCTCGGGCAATGCCAGCCGCAGGCCGGTGGGCGCCGCGGCCAGGCAGTCGCCGCAGCTCAGGGGCGGCACGCGCATCAGATGGCTGGCCACCATCAGCCAGCTCGCGCGCGGCGCGATGCGGAAAGCCTTGGCCAGCACCAGCCAGGCCAGCGCCGCCATCAGGTTGAAGGCGGCGCTGGTGTGCAGCAGCGTGGGGACGTCGAGGAACTCCATGGGCAGGTCCGCCATCTTCTCCGACAACGACACAATGCCGGGATGTCGAACTGGGTATTGATCACGGGAAGTTCACGCGGCATCGGCGCGGCTGCGGCCTGGCGCTGTGCCGAGGCGGGCTGGGACGTGGCGCTCAATTTCGCGCGGGATGCGAGCGCGGCGCAGGCGCTGGCCGCACGCATTGGCGCCCTGGGTCGGCGCACGCTGACGCTGCAGGC